CTTTCCTAACAAGTTTTAGTTTTCATCAGAATGCTACTTTTATGCGCACAAAAGTGTAAATGTTTAACCAGTGCCCCCTACCTTTAATGAAGAATTTTCCCAGATTTTCATATTGGTGGACTCGCAGCTATATCTCATGACTCAAGAAAAACAAGCATTGTGTTGTGGCATGGGTTTCTCATTTTGGACCCGTTTCACGTCAATCGGTAATATTGGTACGATGTTTCGGTTTCGAATAATTCCGTATGTTTCCTTTCATTCAAGAATTTATAAACAATCCAGGTTGTATTTGAACTTTCAATGAATTGAATAGATATGTCCATTTTTATTATACTTTTAAAATTATGTATAATTTACATATCGTTTAGTCCTTTACACTATGGAGATTGCAACTCGGCATTTAGATCTGGCATCAGAAAAAACGTATTTTGAGATCAAGCTTATAACCTCGACTTTTATCTAAATCGAACGTGTTTTCATATAGTTACAGTATATCTTAATTATTTGTGGCAAGGCCTTGTAATGTGTATGTTGCAGGAATTTGTTAAATATTTATAAGTTTAAAATTTACAGAACGAATTATTGCAATTTGTTTGCGATGGAAATTGGCGTCTCGTAATGTTGAACAAATTATAGATCGGCAACATGCCCTGTATGTGCTTGTTTTGTAAATGCAATTTTTAAGCGCTTCTCTGCTTTTTCTAAGAAGACTTGAGCAGCTTGCAATTTCACATCAGTGCGTATGTGCCCATGATCTCAGGCGATTTGTTCGAAATATGAGAACGGCCATCTGAATAAAATTTGTGTGCCTCCTTATAGGTAGACTACGCAGTGTGGAGTTTAAGACCTTAAGAAATGTTTGATCTAGCTAAAAGGTCTAAATCTTGTCGGTTGAACTCTGTTAGTCTTTATCGTATTCACCGTTTTCTCCATCTGCCCCTTCCCCAATGTTGCTGTGATTTCCGCGTTTGTAGAATCCCAAAACTGCTTTAATATGTATCAAATACTTAGCCCTTTGCACTGCTACTAGTTAGAATTTTT